TGGTACGAAATGCGTCACACATTTACTCAGTTCTGATGTTACTAATATACCTACATTATTTTTGTGATGCTGGTATTCTGTGTTGTTATCGACATAATATTATACACTTCCGTCCCTCTATTACGATCCTGACTCTGGCCATCTCATTTCGCTGATTACCAGTAGGTCTATTTTTATTTCTTGAATTGCGTTGTTAAGTTTTTCCAGTCAGAAATAGACTTCTAACATTTCATGTGCATATTCTAAAATTAGATTTCTTTATTTTTGGGATGTTTTCAAAAGGTTTTCGCATGTTTACGACCTGAGGGGCATCGTGGTATAAATATGTTTCTCCTCTCCTACCCAATCTTGGCTTCCGCTTTCCATGATTAGTAACGATTTGAAATGGCAGTGACAATTCTTTATAGATTTTCCTGGAGTTGGTCTATGAACCCTCCATGCAGTTGTTCTGTTTTGCCTTCTACATTCTTATGCCTTTGACCATTATTTGTTGATTAATCCGATTTCGCGGCGGGTTGATTTCTCAACCCTAGGACAAAAGAACTCTAGGGCTTTACACTCGCCAACTCATCCGCCCTAAGCCGTTGGTCAGTAGGTGGATGATTACTTATACCGGCAATCGCTTGGACGTCATAGCCTCATTATTATCTAGTAGGATGCACCAGATGACCATAATCAAGATCATCACAGAGGCAGATGAGGTTGATATTTGTATAAGAGAGGCTATACGCTGTGCATCACTATCCCTTGCATCCCTACAACATTATAAATATGATCATATATTCAGTAAATAAGATAATTATACACCATTTTAAAAAAAGATAAAAAATATTACTGACCCATATTTTCGGACTCGGTCTTGTGCACCGTGTGCGAGTATTTGATCACAGAAAATTGTCGTGAGTAACCGAAGATTAAACTACGTATTTCACTTATAATCCGGTCAAGTTAGCATCAAAAATAGAGGTAAGGTTACATTAATTCGCACCTTCCTAAAAATTGGCACTGTTGTTGGGAACCCTATTATTCACAATTTATTAATTATCCACATCAATCCGGAGTGTGGAAAAAAATTTATTCAAGGTCAAATGTTGCAAAAATTGGTTTTTTGAGTTTTTAGCTAAACGGTAAGTTTTATAATAAAAATAGGTGAGACAAAAATGATTCATCATGCAATTATCTATAAAAATTGTTCCTACACATTTTTTCCTAAGAATCACCATTTCGAAGATACAGCGATGCAAAATGTTGAAAAAGTTATATTCTTCATAATATGCACACGTTTCCGCGCCACCCGTGAGGTAGTGTACATGGCGCGTTTTTTTTACGTGGTTTCCCCGATAGGCCTATTCCACGATCTATTGTGCTTCTGTTAAGTTAAAAAGCTATTATATTAAATTGAAAATGGTACTATTGTAAATAACAAGAGCGGTGTAAGTAATGTGTAAATTAAGAAAATTATTCGTCTGATAGATACTCTTCTAATGGAACATAATCCAGACTGTCTTGCTCTTGTTCTTCTTTTTCTTCTTGCTGGGTACAAATTAATTGTTCAAAGAGCGATGCATCAGATGTCTCCCCGTCTATATCGTAAGAATCCTCTTCTACTGGCGATTCAACATTGGAGCACGATTGGCCTCGACAACTGATACATGCTAATGAACAAAACAAACCAACTTTTTTACAGCCGTATTTAGCATTACGTCCCTTTTTACAATTGCAAAAAATTGAATTGAGGAGTTTTTCTGGTGCAGGAGGGAGTAAAGTCTGAACTGGTTCCAATATATTGTCAATTAACTTCCAACCCCAGTCTTCTGGGTTTAGTTTATTACCAAACCATACTTGAACTTGATAATATACCCGAAATAGATGTTGATGAGCAGAAGCAGAGGTTGGAGGAAGACAAGCTAATTGTACTTGTTTCTTTTTATATGTTTCTTTTGCAAAAGATAAGTATCGAAACTTATCTAAGCATGTAATTTTTTTTGGAGCTCCGTACATTGAAAGAAGAAAGCGAATTCCGTTGGTAATTACATAATTATTTTACTATAACCTACTATACCATCATTTTGATATATCTGCAGTGGCACATGAGCTATTGCCGCGAAATCTGTTGCTGAAGGAGCTTTTTTTATCCGTTGTATCGGCTCTTCTAGTAAAACTGAACTTTTTGGAGTAACAATTTGAATGATACCCATTATGTGAAGTGTGTTATGACCGTCCAGCGTATTTACATTTATATCAGCATTGTCTGCAACATACTGAATGAATGTGCCAGTTTCTGGTGGTAAAATGTGAGGTGGACGGTGAAAAACTGCTGCTGCTTCGTACAATATAGTATCATTATAAGATGCGCACAAACCGAAAGACGAAAAAATTTGTATAAGACGTTTTGACTCAAATCGCCGATGGAAAAAAATAGAGAGACCCAATTGTAACTTTGATTTGAAAGATCTTGGTCGAACAGCAGTCATAATACTATGGCTAATATTTGTGCAATTTCAAATGTTGTAAATTAAATCGCTTTTTTTTTTCAAAATAACTTTTTCCAAAAAATAAGTCAGTGACTCTGGAATTTGACTGTTAATATCTTCGAACATACGACCTGGCGGGGGGTAATGAGAATTGTCAAAAGCTGCAGATTGGATATCTTCTCGAATGATTGCTGCCGCAGCCTTCACGATGTTGAATCGCTCTTCTTTTTCATTTGTTGTTTTTTTTTTCGTAACTAGGTCGATTTAAAATGTCATAATGATTATCAACAAAACATATTAATGTTGATGCTCCTGACTTTTCTGTTAAAATAATTTTATCGCCATACTTCAACTTTAATCGTAACTTAATGGTTCTATTATCTAACGAATTGTTGCAAATATTTTGTAATTCGTCCAATGAAAATTGATAATCATCACTATTCTCGATGTGTGCAAATATGTCTTCCATTAAAAGATTCGTACTTTCAGAGATTCAGGACGACCGGCTTGACCCCCCGTAGTCGGTCTCAAGAAGGCATTATGATAGTCTTTATGATATTTAGCTTCGGCAGCAACTAAATCATGTTCGAACCCAATTCGAGTAATAACTGCCTTTGCTACATGATCAGAACGAGTCTGGGCTATATTCAGGATTGTTTCTTTGAATGAAAGCGTTGTTACATGAAAAATTTTACGCCGATACTTCAGCGCTTCTCTGTTCTCTAGCTCTTCATTCAATTCATTGCCACAAAATAAGCAACACTTTTTAAAACAAAAAAATTATTCACTTACGCGAGCTCTAGTACGAGGTGGACTTATTTTTGATGTACTAGCTTGTTCTTCATCCTGTTTTCTTTTCAATGCATCGATTGTACCCTTCCGAGTATAGTTTTTCCGACACTGCACATGAACTGTCACAGAAGTCTGACCTTTCAGGTATTCCGAGAATTCATCACCTCTTTCAATACTTGCATTAATTAATGTCTGTAGGCCACGATCAACAGTAACTGTTTCACTTTCGGTCAAATGTTTATTACAAATAAAGCACAACTCCGACATTTCTATTACAAACACAAAACTGCACAAATTGTTTGAAAATACAAGCGATAACTACGTGTTCTTACTACGAAGGAATGCTTGAGACTAATACTATTCTATCTAGCAAGGCCCTTCAAAAAGGAGCAGGTATACGAACGTCGCCACGTGGACAATGGAATAGCAGACAGATGTTGCTCAAGGCCGTACGGTCATATAAAATGAGGGACTGGTTTTTTTTCGAGTTTATATTTTTATAACTGTATAATATGTATGTATACGCTACGAAAATAAATATTTTTACTTATATTATCGCTCTGTAATAGTATATTACATAACGAGAGTTGTAAGAAGCTTATTACATGCGAGTAAAAAAGTTGCGCGCGAGCCGCGTAGCGGCGAGCGCAGTAATTTTACAAGCATGTAATAAGCTTACAACTCAAGTTGTGTACTATACTTTTTCTACCATTATTTTCGTTTATAAAAATAAAAATTAAATTACCACTATATTTACACTGACAGTTTAATAATTTTTAACCTGTCAAAACAACGCCTGTTAATTCGTTTCCATGGTAACTCGACCAACTGACTTACAAGGCTTATGTGATATTAAACATTTTTATAGAACTGAAGCGTAATTTTTTTTATTACGTGCTAGTCATTACGTGTCAGTATCTGTTATGATGCATTTACTTAGCATCCAAATAGTAGGTAATATACAATTTACTAGTAAGAGAGTAGAAAAAGTATATTACTGTAATTGACATGCATATTATGACGAATACAACTTTTTCAACATTTTGCATCGCTGTATCTTCGAAATCGTGATTCTTAGGAAAAAAATGTGTAGGAACAATTTTTATAGATAATTGCATGATGAATCATTTTTGTCTGACCTATTTTTATTATAAAACTTACTCTTTAGCTGAAAAACTCAAAAAACCGATTTCTGCAACATTTGACCTTGAATAAATTTTTTTCCACACTCCGGATTGATGTGGATAATTGACAAAATGTTGTATAATAGGTTTTCCAACAATCATGCCAATTTTGAGGAAGGTGCGAATTAATGTAACCTTCAATGTCTATTTTGACCGGAGTATTAATTCCTGAACCCACAGAAAAACGTAACAATATTAATAACAAGTAAATTTTTAGAATGAATAATTTTTATTTAACCTTAATTTTCTTATCTTATTGTTATTTTTATTTTATTATCTCTGTAACTTCAGCTATTGGCTTTATATCCCAAGATAAATGTAATTAACTACCAACTTCGTTAGTGTGCACCATAAACTTAAAGTAAGAGTAGTAATTTCCACCACAAGGTATTAAGTAGCTTAAAGTGCATCTGTACCAATCGTATTTAGAGATCAAATGACACTCGTTACCCGTATCTCTCCTACATGCACTTCATAGAAAAAAAGTATCACGTAAACAAATCTCGGGAGATATTATTTAACATCACTTAATAGCTTCTCTGCGGTGTACCGCACAAAGTATTCGAAGTCTTTGCTGAAAGCATACTATAATATACGTTTTTATAGTGGCAGTTACTTTTTCCATTATACTTTTGTAGAGACAAGTGACTGGGTGAGTAATAAATGTTTTATAGTCTAAATGTTACATTAATATTTTAAGCAAAATATAAAATATACTGTGCAGTGTAAGTTAGGGATATTGCCAATATAATGTTAGTGGTACTTCATTCTGCATTAATGTTTTTAAAAAATAAGAAAATTTGAGACCTTATAAAGAGAATCAGATAAAACAAATTCTAAGTATTGACAAAGCACCTGTACAGCCATTGTCAAGAAAATGACCTTTTTCCCCCAGTTGGGATAAACAATTGTGTGTGTGTGCGTGCGTGCGTGTGTGTGTGTGTGTTTAGAATAATGCCCTTGGTTTAGACCCTTTCAAGGTTTCAAATTTAAAAAATTCGAACCAGTTTAAAAATGGCGGCCATAAAATGAATTTTTCCTATAGTAAAGTATAGGAATTTTACAGGTTTCATTCTTCAAAATTTAAAGTCCTAATTTTCAATGTATTTTTAAAATATGCCCGCGTCTTCTTTTTTCTTATACTTACTGATTGAATTCAGAATTATGAAACCGGAAGTATTTACTTTCGGTAATGTGTTCACAAGACACAACCTTCCTCCAAATCAAAATATACTTCTTGATAATCAATCTTTTACATTCAAAAACCATATCAAATATCTGGGCCTTATACTGGATAAAAAATTGACTTGGAAACAACACATACAATATATGCTGGATAGATGCAACAAAGGTAGTAATTTTCTTATAATGACAACCGAAGTGTGGTGGGGTTGCGATGTTGAAACATCCTTATTGTTTTACAGAGCTTATATACGATCCATTATAGATTATGGTACTACTCTTTACAGTTCTGCATCTAGAAATCTTCCAAGAAAAATTGACATTTTTCAAAATTCTGTCTTAAGGGTCTGTTTAGGTGCTATGAGATCTACCCCTATACAACCACTACATGTTGAAGCTTATGAACCTCCTCTTTCGATTAGAAGAAATTAATTTATTAAGTGAAAAATGGGTACTCAAAGCCCACTCAACATATCCCAAATTATTTTCCAGTATACGTCAACTTAACGAATCAGACCTCACTCATAAATATTGGATTAAGAAGCCGTCTCCATCTTTGTGCACTGCTTTACAGAACAATTCAATTTTTTCAAAAAATTTGGCCAAAGTGGAAAAAAATTTAGACTTCTTTGCTCTCTTCCATAAAGCTGAAGTTATAATACCCACATATAGTCACAACAACAAATTGAGCAACAATATTCTGAGATCTGTTTTGAACTGTTATAGTGATGCCACAGTTATATACACGGACGCATCCAAATCAATAGAAGGGACTGGCTGTGCCTATTTTCTACCCTCAGGAGGTTCTGAATTTAAGTACAAACTTTCCAAGGAGTTTTCAATTTTCTCGGGGGAATCATTGGCGATACTCGAAGCTTTGAAATATGTTAAAAACTCTTATATTAAAAAATCGTTAATTCTTTCAGACTGCCTTTCAGTTCTACAGAACATAAAAAACACTTTTTTGCCCAAAACATTTAGTAATCCTTATATTTTTATAATAAAAGATCAATTAAAACACTTAGTAGACTCTGGCTTTAATATAAAATTTATTTGGGTTAAGGCACATATTGGACTCAAAGATAATGAATATGTAGATTACTTAGCTAAAAGCAGTATAATATCAGGCACTTTATTGCCATATTCTTTATGTGTATCAGATGCCATTAGGATATTTAAAAAAAACCAGCTAGCGACATGGAAAGATCAATGGAATCTTTACTGCCTTACAAACCAAACAAGATACACCACTTTACAACCAGTTATTCCACAAACTACTTGGTTTAAGAATTTTAAATCTCCACGTAAATATATAACCACCATAAATAGACTACGCTTTGGACATGCGTGTTATTCAAGTCATTTATATAAAATAAATGTGATTGAAGATGATAATTGCAAACATTGCGGAAAACTGGGTGATCTTGATCTCATCTTTTTTGAATGCCCCAAGTTTCAACAGCATTCAAACTCTCTCTACAAAAAATTAATCGAATTTAATATGTATACACCATTCAATATTCAGTCGCTACTGGCGACAGGCTCACAAAATATATATAATATCATTATAGATTTCTTGTCAGACACATGCATGGTTCTATAGAATTTGTACTCGAGCATGAAATTTTTCATGATCGTGTGGAAATTTAGATTTGTATCCTTTGTTTACCCTAAATGTTATAACACCTTATCCGTGGTCCAGTTTTGTTTGTCTACTAAGAATGTCTTGATGGGCCCCTAGACGAGAAGCAAGTGACCCTGTAAGTTTCCTTGTCGTATATTCTTCTATTAATTATCCGTTAGTTTTCGATTAGGGATAGAGTTGTGCATTTGTCTGATTGGAGAATCTATTGCAACTGGCTGAATGACTAATGTCAATGCCATTAAAAAAAAAAAAAATACTTTCGGTAAGATATCCCATCCTAACTATTTATTGCTTGAAAACAGCAGCAACGTCACCCGCAGTTGGTAAATTGAATCTTCTTGGATCGTTTTCTCGCTGTTCAACGATGTTCATAAGAAGATTTTGCCTGTTGGATGAATCTGAAGCAATTATTTCATTAAGTGTTTTGAAATCACTCATGTAACGATTGACTGCTTGAAGTTCACGTGTGAGATTTTCCATAAGGACTGGGTCACATCCTTGATTTGAAGGCTGAGCCATTCTAAATTGTGCAGCCATTTCGACATTATAGATGTACACTTGACCGTATAGAGGGACTGAACCATCAGTTGACGTCCATCATACTAAACGGTGATAAATGTTTTGATGAACGCGAAGAAAGTATGGACCATTTCTTGAATCACTGTCGAGGCTTATTCCAGTGCTGACCATTGCCAAGGAAGAGTTGTAGGAGCGTATGTTTTTCTTATAGTTAGCAGAAAGTTCAGTGGTTAAATTCAGCAACTCTTCAAGGTAGGGCAATGAACGAAGAGGTTCAAGGCAGACTTTGCCTTGCCACAGCATCGAGTGAAACCCTCTCTCGTTCCTTCTTTTCACAGGGACAAAAATTTTGCGTTGCAGAATATATATGTCTGATTCAGTTCTCCAAGTGAATGTTGTGGAGTAGTGATGTCATCAATGAAAGCTGGGCGAGTTTCTCTATTCTGTTGTTGAGTTGCTCGCAGGTTCTGGTTTCTTTCACGGTCTTTTTCTTAAACGTGGCATTTTACAATCTAAAATATGCAAAAAAAAGTTAGTTCCGGTTTTACTTCCGTTTTTTTATTTAAGATGGGTGGAGTCTAACAATCATATTGTTTCTGTTTCCTAATGTAAATCTTCCTTAAAATCCTAAAAAACTACTGTATCCATTTTCAATTTAAAAAAATTGGCGTCGATACAGTTTATTTTTAGGATTTTTGGAACATTTACACCAGGCAACGGAAACGATGGATCGTTATACTCTACCCCTCTTAATTATCAGCAAAACTTACATCAAAACTCGATGTCGAGTTGCTCCGCTAGTAATAACTAATACTAAATGCTAAAGCTAAATTCTAATACTAAATATTAATAAATAAAATATATATATTTTTTAACGGTGCTAAGATCTAAACACGATTCAACACCTCGAAGGGTTAGGCCCTCTTTGTGCTTTGTTTTTCATATATGTATTTTTTTGTATTTATTTTTTATTTATTTTTTTTACTTTATATAACTATTTTATATATAAGACTGACATAACCTTTTATCATGGTTTTCCTTTTATCATTTTACGGTTTGGATCAATGTTTCCCGAATAGTATAATTTGGTATTTAAAATCTTATGTTAAAACCAGTGTGGCCATCTGGTTTCACTTAGACCCAATATTTTGATGAATATGTGTTGCATTTCTTGTATGACGTGTAACTTTCCATCTTCATAAATTGTTTTAGTATTCCACGTAGCTATCCTCCTCCTCCTTAGTCCTAATCCCTTTTAGGATGTAGTGACACCATCAGGTCTTTATAGTTTTTTCACAATTTTTCTCCATGCTTCTCTGTCCTGGGCTAGTTCTTTGACTTCATGTAACCCATGTAAATCAATATTTTTGTTTGATCTACCCAACGACTTGTAGATCTTCTCCTAGATCTCTTTCCTTCATCTCTACCCTCGACTATCAGTTTTTCCATCTTGCCTGTTCTTCTAGCAATGTGTCCAAAATACTGCAAATATCTCTGTTGTATGTTTGTTGAAGCAATCTATCCTTTCCTTTAAGTTATTCTAGTATCGATACGTTAGCGCGAAGATCAATCCAGGATATTTTCAACATGCGGCAGTATACCCACATATATTTTGTGTAGCTTTATTGTTATGTTAGAATTTTTCCAAATTGCTACCAAATTCATCATAGCTGTTCTAGCAATAGTCAACCTTCTACCAATTTCTCTGTCACACCCTTCGTCATTTGTTATTAGGGACCCCAGATAAATTGCTGCGCGAAAGATTTCTGCGGATGAGCGGTCGAACCATCTCCTTAGGTGTTTCAGTCATGAGTTCTGGCGTCTTCCTACTGATCTTTTGCTCTGTACTTTTCCTTCCAGTATAACTTGAAGTAATTCATATTTTTAGCTTTTCAACACATGACCCAAGTATTGCATTTTCCTCTCTTTCATTATTCTTTGTAATTCTTTTTGTTTACACATTCGACGAAGTACCTCAACATTAGTAACTCTTTGTACCCATGGAATTCTCAATATTCGTCTGTATATGTACATCTCAAAGACATCATCTATTTTTTTTTGGCAGGCTTTTATTCTTTTCGTATAGTTTTCCCTATAAGTTAACGACCAGGGGAGCTCTACAAACCTTTGGTTGTCTACGCCTTGATGACAAAATCATGATCAATAACGTGTTTAACCAACTACTTGTCCTAGCCATAATGATTACTAGAGATATCCATTAAGGATCATTAACGCAGTGATTTCCCTTTGCTTTCTACATAATTACGCTTTTGACCTATTTTTTGGTTCATCCGCCAATTTTTTAG